ATTCCTTCGACAAATACAAAAGCCGGCAATGCTACAAACAACAAAAGCAAGCACGGGAAAATGGCTGCAAGCAATCTTCCAGGCATGCATTAAAACAGCACACATACCTCTTCCATGGAAGGAAGCGAGGGTAGTCTTCATACCAAAACCAGGAAAAAGAGGACACATCCAAGCCATGGATTATAGGCCGATAAGCCTTACCTCCTTCCTGACGAAGGAGGGAGTCCTGTCCCCACTGCTCTGGCTGATAAACATGGACGACGTACTAAGAACACTAAATAGCGAAGGAGTAAAAGTGGTAGCATACGCAGACGACGTAGTCCTACTCACTTCAGGACCATTCCCCGACGTCATCAGCGAACTAATGACAAGGGCACTCAATAAACTCAATGCATGGTCAAAAGCCTGCGGATTGGGCATAAATCCAAGTAAAATGGAACTAATGCTCTTCACTAGGAGAACAAAGGTCCCTAGCTTCACAAAGCCAAAGATAGATGGCATAGAACTAGAGATATCACAGCAGGCAAAGTATCTGGGAGTGATACTGGATGCGAAACTGTCATGGAAACAAAACATCAACGAGAGAGTCAAGAAAGCAAGCATAGCATTCTATTCCTGCAGGAAGATGTTCGGAAAGAACTGGGGCATTCACCCCAGGATAATAATATGGCTTTACACAGCGGTGGTAAGACCCATACTCACATACGGAGCACTAGTATGGTGGCCAGCATTAACTAGGGCATACAACGTACAGAAACTAACAAGGATACAGAGATCGGCATGCGCAGGAGCCACAGGAGCACTGAGATCATGCCCCGCGGCGGCGCTGAACGCCATCCTGAACATAATACCGATAGAGCATTTCATCAGGAACACTGCAGCACAAGGTGCGGTACGACTTAAGGCTAGTCAAAGCTGGAGAGACTACCACACCGGGCACTGCAGGATTCTGAACGAGATAAACTATCAGACGACAGTAGACACAGACTACATGACAACCGAACTGCGATTCGGTAACACATACACCACTATATACCCTACATGGGAGGACTGGAAGAGAGGGAGAGTAACCGAACCGGGCGAAGTATCACTCTTCACCGACGGCTGAAAGATGAGCGGCGGAGTAGGGGCCGGAATCTACGCCGAGAGCTGGAAGGTGGAGGAATACTTCCACCTCCCAGAGTCAGCGACGGTTTTCCAGGCGGAGGTTCTCGCGATACTGAAAGCTGCCGAACTTTCGCTAGACCGAGGCCTCCGGAATCCCTCGCAAAAGCACGGACGACTTCAAAACTAGTGGCCAAATGTAAAGGGGCACTAAACAGACTAGCAGAAGACAACAGGGTACAAATAGCCTGGGTACCCGGACACAATGACATAGACGGAAACGAGAAAGCAGACGAGCTGGCCAGAAAAGGGTCAGAAGAACACTCAGCAACAACAGACATACAGATCTCCCTGAACTCAGTCCAGACGGAAATTCATGACCATTTCAAACAACTAGCCAGCAAGGAATGGTCGACGAAGGCAGAGCACAGAAGATCGAAACTATGCTGGCCAGAATTCAATAGGAAGAGAACCGCAGAACTGATCTCCAAGAGCAAAAAGGACATCAGGAGGATAGCGGCAACCATCACCGGCCACTGGCCAATAGGCACGCAAGCCTGTAAGATGGGTCTACCCTACAACCCAATGCAGAAGCTGCAAGGAACCAAGCGAGCAGGAGACACCAGAGCATCTGCTGTGCCACTGCCCGGCACTCAACAAACAAAGCACAACAAAGCAAACGGAGCACACCAACTCGAGTCACTAGGGGAAGTTGGAAGCCAGCCAGTAGCGGCCATCCTAGCTTACCTGAATGACACGGGCTGGTACTAAGTAGGGCGCAGACAACAACAAATCGAGGGTGTGAATCAAAACGGAGCTCAGCTCTAATTGGAGGCTGCCAGGGCTTCCTCACCACTTATACCTACCTACCTTAGTAACATGCTTTTTTTATTTATTGGTGTAATAGAATACACAGGAAGGAAATACACAATTCCTCGCATCGCTACTCTCGTTGATCCTCGCTTCAAAAAAGATGGCTTTCTCCGGAGATCAGCAGCCAAAGCGTTGGAGCTGGAATTGCTCTCTCTTAAGTCAACAACTCCACGACGTCCACCAACACCAGAATCAACTTCAAACGAGGCAAGCAGCAAATTTTCATTTTTGCAAAATAAGCCTAAAGTAAAGTCTACCAGAGCCGATGCCATTATTGCCACAAGGCAATTTATGGAAAAAGAAAACATTCCTGACACTTGAGACCCCTTGACGTATTGGGAGGTATGATTTTTAAATAATTATGACTAACATGTTAAATAAGAAATATTTTTTACAGATGACTGCTGACAACGAACTGAAATTGGTTGCAAAAAAAATTTTCTGTATACAAGCCTTGTCCTGTGAGTCTGAAAGAGTATTCAGCAAAGCTGGACAAACTATATCTGACCGCAGGACAAGGCTTAAACCTGAAGTTGTTGACCAACTTTTGTTCCTGAACAGAAATAGACACTTTAAATGATCTCAAATAAATCTCATGTTACTGTTTGTACTGTTTCTGTTCTTTTTGCATTTTCTTTTTTTTAAACATCGATGTTTCACTCGATGTTTTTTTTTAAAACATCGAAAACATCGATGGACACGAACATCGATGTTTCTGCACCTCTATTTCTCACTTGTTAACCGATATACAGAATGTGACGTGTGTACTAGAGCTGGAAAAAAATCGATATCAACATCGATTAAATCGATTCATTCTTTTTGGATTCGGTTTAAGAAGAATCGATTAATCGACAAGGTCCATGTTCAAGATAAATATCACCACTGTGAAAAAGAATTTTATTTAAAATAAGTTGCTTTATTTAAAATAAATGGTTTAAATAATTTTATTAAAAATAAATAATTTTATTTAAAATTAAGGTTCATAAAATAAGAAACAAAATATTGTCATAAAATAAAAAATAAAATCAATTAATCACTGGTTATGGCCAGAATAGGCACGCAAGCCTGTAAGATGGGTCTACCCTACAACCCAATGCAGAAGCTGCAAGGAACCAAGCGAGCAGGAGACACCAGAGCATCTGCTGTGCCACTGCCCGGCACTCAACAAACAAAGCACAACAAAGCAAACGGAGCACACCAACTCGAGTCACTAGGGGAAGTTGGAAGCCAGCCAGTAGCGGCCATCCTAGCTTACCTGAATGACACGGGCTGGTACTAAGTAGGGCGCAGACAACAACAAATCGAGGGTGTGAATCAAAACGGAGCTCAGCTCTAATTGGAGGCTGCCAGGGCTTCCTCACCACTTATACCTACCTACCTTAGTAACATGCTTTTTTTATTTATTGGTGTAATAGAATACACAGGAAGGAAATACACAATTCCTCGCATCGCTACTCTCGTTGATCCTCGCTTCAAAAAAGATGGCTTTCTCCGGAGATCAGCAGCCAAAGCGTTGGAGCTGGAATTGCTCTCTCTTAAGTCAACAACTCCACGACGTCCACCAACACCAGAATCAACTTCAAACGAGGCAAGCAGCAAATTTTCATTTTTGCAAAATAAGCCTAAAGTAAAGTCTACCAGAGCCGATGCCATTATTGCCACAAGGCAATTTATGGAAAAAGAAAACATTCCTGACACTTGAGACCCCTTGACGTATTGGGAGGTATGATTTTTAAATAATTATGACTAACATGTTAAATAAGAAATATTTTTTACAGATGACTGCTGACAACGAACTGAAATTGGTTGCAAAAAAAATTTTCTGTATACAAGCCTTGTCCTGTGAGTCTGAAAGAGTATTCAGCAAAGCTGGACAAACTATATCTGACCGCAGGACAAGGCTTAAACCTGAAGTTGTTGACCAACTTTTGTTCCTGAACAGAAATAGACACTTTAAATGATCTCAAATAAATCTCATGTTACTGTTTGTACTGTTTCTGTTCTTTTTGCATTTTCTTTTTTTTAAACATCGATGTTTCACTCGATGTTTTTTTTTAAAACATCGAAAACATCGATGGACACGAACATCGATGTTTCTGCACCTCTATTTCTCACTTGTTAACCGATATACAGAATGTGACGTGTGTACTAGAGCTGGAAAAAAATCGATATCAACATCGATTAAATCGATTCATTCTTTTTGGATTCGGTTTAAGAAGAATCGATTAATCGACAAGGTCCATGTTCAAGATAAATATCACCACTGTGAAAAAGAATTTTATTTAAAATAAGTTGCTTTATTTAAAATAAATGGTTTAAATAATTTTATTAAAAATAAATAATTTTATTTAAAATTAAGGTTCATAAAATAAGAAACAAAATATTGTCATAAAATAAAAAATAAAATCAATTAATCACTGGTTATGGCCAGAAAAATTTATTATATATATTATGAATACATTTTTGGTTTATTGTTTTATGAATGATTATGTAAATAATTTTAAGTTTTGGTTTTTCTCTGAATTTATTTGAAGCAAAAAATAAAAAAGTTTTGTTTTCGATTTAATCTATTTTATTTTCTAAAAGAGCGAAAAAATCGATTTGCTGAGATTCGTTTTTTTTCCAGCTCTAGTGTGTACATTTATCACAGGACCGATTTTGTGAGAAACGATCACTGAATTCAGTGAACGAAACATTTAATAACCTGTTTGTTGAGTAATTCTTCCCTAACAAGTCGCAGTATACTTTGCTCCCATTTAAAATTTAGCTTTAAAATATACGTAAGTATGTATGTAGATGATTCTAGATTGTAACAGAATTATGTATCGAATTAAGTCGACTAAATATTTTGTATACTGAAATACAAATTGAGTTCATTCTTGGAACCCAACCGTAGCCCAAGTCTCACTTACATATATTAAAAGAGCTAATCTGACTTCGGCTACGTATCTCCGAAGCTTTCGTATGATTTTATATTAAACAAGTGAGCTTGGTCGTCTTATCTATATTATGCGACTTAAGCTTTCATCGTCAGTCGTAATAAAGCTTCGTTTCAGTTCACAGCTATACATAAGCTAAATTAATGACGAACTATAATACTTAATATTGTTCTTTTGTATACATATATATTATCGGGGTAGGTACACCAAGTATTATTTGGACTAAGTATATATATAATATATATATATATATATATATATATATATATGTATGTATTTCCATATGGAAGTTGCAACGCAATAAGGGGCATAAATATAAAGAATATAAATACATATATATATATATATATATAAAGAATATAGATTTATTCTTAATGAGTGTATGTTCTTCAGTCGGGTCCTGCGCAAACTAGGTTGCTTAGTTTTGGAGTTATCTGAACTTAACTTTGCAGATAGTCTGCTTTTTATTGCAGGTAGTATATTTGCCGGATCGGAACTGGCCGGACTACACTTTCTCATGGCTGTAATATATGTATGTACATACATATGTAAATTATTTAGTATATGGGGATTTCCACAGAATGGTCCACCGTGACCGAAAAACTAAAGGTTCTCAACAAAATTTTTGTTCAATATAGTTAAGTTAAGAAGTGTTCCAATTAATCAAATTTGACCGAAATAGCATATTCTAAAACAGATATCGAAATATTCGAATGCAATGTAGCGCAAGCTCGATTTTTCAATTTAACGAAATACAAAATAATGGCATTTTTTGTTTCGATAACTTCATAACAAGATGAAGTACATGTTCTAAATTTCGTTTCTATTATCACTCAGAATGCACTCAAAAATAAACGAAAAATAAAGATGCGATTAGCTATGTATAACGGTTCAATGTTGATTTACATTGTCGCTTCCCAAATCGATCTTATCACCTACACAGGAAAAATTTTCGTAGGTTGAATATACTATTTTTGTGGGTTGAAGTTCAGTAAGGTACTGTCAGTGTATTTAACCCTTACGTTCGAAATGATGTGTGTATTTTGTTGTTGGCTTTGGAGACTGTAAATTACTTTCAGCTGCTGTCAAGATATTGCTCGCTTTACGCAGCTTAGAGAGAGAGAGAGCGATAGGAAGAGAGAAAGAGATACATTTTATTTTGATCTCTCTCTCACATTCCCGACTTTAGAGTTTGATTTACCTCAGTAGCCCAGTTGGTAAGCAGACGGTCTGCGAATTCTGGGGCATAGGTTCGAATTCCGGCCGGGGATAAAGAAAAGTTTAAGTTTAAAAGCAACTAATATGATGTATATACTAATTTAAGTGATTTAATAACCATTTGTAACTATAATTACAGACTTAAATAAAAAAATATTTCACAACAAAGTAAAAGTAAATCCAAAACTTCATTTAATTAATAATATTTGGTATTAAGACTGTTTCATATTAACTAAGGGCGGTTTAGGTAGGATTTCATTTTTTGTATTTTTAGTTTATTTTAATAATAATTTCTGAATTTATTTGGGTGGTAGTTAAAGGTATTTGACGGTACTGTAGATTGTAATCGTGGACCAACCTGCAGTTTTATACAGTGAAACTGTTGAATACTTAATTTCACAACTTTCGTAGGTTGGGGCCTTTTTACGGCAGAATCGTGGTTGGATAGTTATTAAATCACATAAATTATTATTAAAAGCTCTATAACATAACTTTTCTTGATCCCTGGCTGGGATTCGAACCCATGTCCCAACTGGGCTACTGAGGCAAATCAAACACCTATGTGAATACATACAATTCCAGAGAGAAATAGAGATTAAAATAAAATGTATTTAGAAAAACAATTATATCCGCAATTTTTCATCATATTTTCATATTGCCGTTTTAATTTTATGAAAATCTGTTGAACAGCTGTTCCATACAAATTCAACTTTCTAAAGTTTCAACGAGTCAGCAGCCTCTGGGCTGAGAGTTTTGTTAAAAAAAACAGCTTGAATCAGTCAATATATGCAAATATATAAGCTCAGTTAATATATTGATGAAAAATAATTCCTTTAGATGGTTTCTCTTGCCTGTCTTAGGCGTTTGCTTCTAATGAAAGCCTAAAATAAACAGCGCGGGAAAATCGATTAGCGATAATATTCGATTTTCAACAAACAGCTGTTTCAAATTTCATCAATTCACTTTTAGGGTAATACCCTTAACCGTTGACAATTTTTGTTAAATTTTCCACGATTCGAAGTGTTTCCACTGGTCTTAATAACTTTGCCGCAATATGTCAACTTAGCTGTGCCGTTTGTAAAATTAATATAAGTCGATTTTGCATATATATTGCTTATTTTTTCACTTTTCAAATAAGTAAGTTCAAAACACCAGCCTAGTACTGACGCCGAAAATCCGCTGTAAATAACTGTCGACCGTGTTTTTTCTTGTGCTCTCATTGCGAGCACAACCGAAAAAGTTCATACTCTCTCGCTCTCGCTCTGAGCAAGACAGTTTTGCTGTCTTCATTTTTGTTTTCTGTTGAGCGCTTTTCGTTGAGCTCTTTTTATTTCGGTCGTTCAATGAGCAGTGCGTAAAGAGCGGAACGAGAAACGTTCGCACAAAGAGAGTCAGCAAAAGACCGATTGACCGAAAAACTCAGCGCAAACGGTCTTCACATTTACTTTCGTTGAAGTTGCAATTAATATATTTCGTCTGCAAAACGAACGCTTGTGAATATATACATATGCAAAGAAATAATACAATTTGATTAATAGAACAATTTAATTTTATTTTCAAATATTTTTGCCTATGCGTGTGAATGTATACCAATACCTACGCAAAAGACTTGTTTCTTCACTGAACACAACAAAACGGTCTTGGAACAACAGAAATAAAAACAGAATAGAAAAAAACGGTTTCGCTCTGAGCGCGAGCGAGCTCATTCAAGAGCCCATGAAACGGTTGCTCTCTGAGTCTTTTCATAAAGAGTCAGAGGGAGACACTTATTTGCAGAAAGTTTTTAGCAAGCTCTGGTTATAGCAGAATCGCTATATATATTTTGAAGGGATGTCGGAAATATATCAAAAAATCAATATATCGATATTTTTTCTATTAAAAAATATATTATCATATAGTATATGGGGATTTCCACAGAATGGTCCACCGTGACCGAAAAACTAAAGGTTCTCAACAAAATTTTTGTTCAATATAGTTAAGTTAAGAAGTGTTCCAATTAATCAAATTTGACCGAAATAGCATATTCTAAAACAGATATCGAAATATTCGAATGCAATGTAGCGCAAGCTCGATTTTTCAATTTAACGAAATACAAAATAATGGCATTTTTTGTTTCGATAACTTCATAACAAGATGAAGTACATGTTCTAAATTTCGTTTCTATTATCACTCAGAATGCACTCAAAAATAAACGAAAAATAAAGATGCGATTAGCTATGTATAACGGTTCAATGTTGATTTACATTGTCGCTTCCCAAATCGATCTTATCACCTACACAGGAAAAATTTTCGTAGGTTGAATATACTATTTTTGTGGGTTGCAGTTCAGTAAGGTACTGTCAGTGTATTTAACCCTTACGTTCGAAATGATGTGTGTATTTTGTTCTTGGCTTTGGAGACTGTAAATTACTTTCAGCTGCTGTCAAGATATTGCTCGCTTTACGCAGCTTAGAGAGAGAGAGAGCGATAGGAAGAGAGAAAGAGATACATTTTATTTTGATCTCTCTCTCACATTCCCGACTTTAGAGTTTGATTTACCTCAGTAGCCCAGTTGGTAAGCAGACGGTCTGCGAATTCTGGGGCATAGGTTCGAATTCCGGCCGGGGATAAAGAAAAGTTTAAGTTTAAAAGCAACTAATATGATGTATATACTAATTTAAGTGATTTAATAACCATTTGTAACTATAATTACAGACTTAAATAAAAAAATATTTCACAACAAAGTAAAAGTAAATCCAAAACTTCATTTAATTAATAATATTTGGTATTAAGACTGTTTCATATTAACTAAGGGCGGTTTAGGTAGGATTTCATTTTTTGTATTTTTAGTTTATTTTAATAATAATTTCTGAATTTATTTGGGTGGTAGTTAAAGGTATTTGACGGTACTGTAGATTGTAATCGTGAACCAACCTGCAGTTTTATACAGTGAAACTGTTGAATACTTAATTTCACAACTTTCGTAGGTTGGGGCCTTTTTACGGCAGAATCGTGGTTGGATAGTTATTAAATCACATAAATTATTATTAAAAGCTCTATAACATAACTTTTCTTGATCCCTGGCTGGGATTCGAACCCATGTCCCAACTGGGCTACTGAGGCAAATCAAACACCTATGTGAATACATACAATTCCAGAGAGAAATAGAGATTAAAATAAAATGTATTTAGAAAAACAATTATATCCGCAATTTTTCATCATATTTTCATATTGCCGTTTTAATTTTATGAAAATCTGTTGAACAGCTGTTCCATACAAATTCAACTTTCTAAAGTTTCAACGAGTCAGCAGCCTCTGGGCTGAGAGTTTTGTTAAAAAAAACAGCTTGAATCAGTCAATATATGCAAATATATAAGCTCAGTTAATATATTGATGAAAAATAATTCCTTTAGATGGTTTCTCTTGCCTGTCTTAGGCGTTTGCTTCTAATGAAAGCCTAAAATAAACAGCGCGGGAAAATCGATTAGCGATAATATTCGATTTTCAACAAACAGCTGTTTCAAATTTCATCAATTCACTTTTAGGGTAATACCCTTAACCGTTGACAATTTTTGTTAAATTTTCCACGATTCGAAGTGTTTCCACTGGTCTTAATAACTTTGCCGCAATATGTCAACTTAGCTGTGCCGTTTGTAAAATTAATATAAGTCGATTTTGCATATATATTGCTTATTTTTTCACTTTTCAAATAAGTAAGTTCAAAACACCAGCCTAGTACTGACGCCGAAAATCCGCTGTAAATAACTGTCGACCGTGTTTTTTCTTGTGCTCTCATTGCGAGCACAACCGAAAAAGTTCATACTCTCTCGCTCTCGCTCTGAGCAAGACAGTTTTGCTGTCTTCATTTTTGTTTTCTGTTGAGCGCTTTTCGTTGAGCTCTTTTTATTTCGGTCGTTCAATGAGCAGTGCGTAAAGAGCGGAACGAGAAACGTTCGCACAAAGAGAGTCAGCAAAAGACCGATTGACCGAAAAACTCAGCGCAAACGGTGTTCACATTTACTTTCGTTGAAGTTGCAATTAATATATTTCGTCTGCAAAACGAACGCTTGTGAATATATACATATGCAAAGAAATAATACAATTTGATTAATAGAACAATTTAATTTTATTTTCAAATATTTTTGCCTATGCGTGTGAATGTATACCAATACCTACGCAAAAGACTTGTTTCTTCACTGAACACAACAAACGGTCTTGGAACAACAGAAATAAAAACAGAATAGAAAAAAACGGTTTCGCTCTGAGCGCGAGCGAGCTCATTCAAGAGCCCATGAAACGGTTGCTCTCTGAGTCTTTTCATAAAGAGTCAGAGGG